CTGCGCACGGCCCGGCGGGTCGGGGCCACTCGAGGCTCCGCAGGTCCCCCTGGGCGTGTCTCCCCCGCGAGCTGTCCCAGCCTCCTGGGCCCGGATGCAGACCTCCAGCAGGCCCCTGGCTCCGGACTCGGCGCCTGCTCTGGCGCCCCCAGGCGCTGCAAGTCAGACCCCAAGCACTTGGGCACTGAAGTTACGGAAACCTCAGGCAAGCCTGAGGGCATAGGAAGAGATGGTCAGATTTGTTCATGATCAGGAAAATACAAGTTAAAATGACAATGAGATATCACTTACACCAATTAGACTGGCAGAAATGAGAAAAACTGGATAATGCCAGATAGTCGTGGGGAATGAGGGGTGTCACAGCCAGGTGCACTGCTGGCAGGAGTAGCCTTCCTGGAAAAGAGTCCTGGCTGTAATGAGGAAAACTAAACCCAGCCAACGATGACCCTAAAATCCAGCTCCTTCTCCACAGGCTCATAAAGAGACATGTACGAGGTTGTTGTTGCTGGCTTGTTTTGTGGTTGTCGGGAGTGGGAGGCAACCTAAATGTCACAGAAGGGGTGGATGGATAAAATGTACTACAATGCAACTTTAGATGCAAGGGACCAGGTGTACTCAAAGTAACAAGGATTCAAACACCGAGTGGTAGAGCGGAAAAAGTGAAAAAAACAAGTGAGACTAAAACACGGTATCAATAAAAATGATTGCACACAAAAGAACACAGATCTGCAAAGACATACAAACAAAAAGATGCACATTGAACCCATCAGAATGGGTTGCACTTCAGACACTGGGGGATGTCCATGTCTTCTCTTCTTTGCCTTTTAGGCATTTATAGACTCTTTAAATCTGGGGATAACGGGGTCCCAAGGCATCTCTACCCCAGGATAAGAAGCCATTGCTAGTTCTTCTGGGATCAGAGGAAGATAAATATCTTTGTCATTAGTGCAGTTCAGAAAGGCTTCCTGGAGGAGGAAGCACTTGGGATGACCTTTGAAAAATAACATAAAGGGGGGATCAGGAGATACAGCTTAGTGGTAGAGCACATGCTCAGCAAGCAGGAGACCCAGGGTTCAATCCCCAGTACCTCTATAGAAAAAGAACGTAATGATAATAGCTAATAATTAATGAGACCCACAGTAGGACTCTGTGGATTATCTCATTTTGTCCCCCAAACCACCCTATGAAGTGGACATTATTACCACCGTATTATGGTGGAGGAACTGAAGCACAGAGAGGGTAAAAAACTCTCCCTACCTCACACAGTAAGTGGTGGAGCCAGAGTTCTACCCCAGGTGGTCTGATTCAAGAGCCACAGCATGAGCATCTGATGGGTGGATAGGACCTTGAAGGAGTCAAAGTTGCAGATAACTGGTGGTCGGTCACTCTCCAAGCCCTGGCCTCCCAGATGGATGCAGAGGTGCTAGCCATCCTTGAAGTCCATGGCCCTGAGCCAGCAGAATGAAGTGACTGCTGCTTTATCACCTTCCTCCCTCATCCACTGCTGCCTGGAGACAGTCTGTGTCTCCATACTTTTCCTGGGGAAACTGGAGGTGAGACCCAAGTGCCCAAGTGACCATGAGTGGGCATTAGAGAAACCCTTGGGAAGTAGATGATTGACAGAAACCTGGCTGTCCCCACAAGCCCAGCCACCCTGGCCCAGGTTAGGCCACACCCATCTAGTGTTTCCAGCTAACCCCGGAAGGCCATATGGGCTTCCTCTAGGAGACCTCCCCAGCCTTCAGTGCTCCCACATTCTGGCCAGGGATTTTTAAATTCATTATCCCACTTAATCCTCACAACAATTCTGTAAAACAGATATTATCATCCCTATTTTATGGATGAGGAAACTGAGGCTCAGAAAGTTCCAGTAACTTGTTGAGATCTTAGAGCAGC